CGTGGCTACAAGTACTTATGTACATACAGTGTATATGCATTTATGCAGATTTGGTTTTGAAAATCAATAACACATTTAGAGTGCATGACAATTAAAAAATTAACTATTGAAATGTTAGCATCGAACAGCAAATAGAAAAATTTATCTACGAAGCACATTTTCTGCCGAAGAATATAAAATGTAGAGAAGTTTCTGTGTCATGTTCCTAAAAGGCAGCTAAGACAGTCAATAGTGTCATGTGGGGGCAGGGGAAAGTCACTTTTTTCTATTGTATAACAACAAATTATGTGTGCGGCACAAACGCTTAAGCACCAGCTGTGATCTTGCAATTGCCAGTCAACAAATCATTTACAATTGAATAAGCTTACATTACGGTAATGTGCTGAATAACTCTTAAATCACGATAATACTGATTTTAGATTATCTGTCGTTAGCATTGTGTAGCAAGGAAAAATTTACAATTGTAACGTTAAGGAAACGCAACGTTAAATTCATTATATGTGGCGTTTGCTGTTTGCTAATAAAAATAATTATGTGCTGCTGTCTTCAAGATCATGCTGTAATATATGTACATACATATGTAGATCTAGAAAAGTGGCGAAACTCGAAATATTATATGAATATATTCGAATAATGTCCCAGACATTGGAAAAAAAGCGAAACGAAAACGGAGCATGCGAATCTTTGGTATGTCTGGCAAATTTTTCGACACTACTCACACACACACATACATACATACATAAAATATATAGCACATTCGAATTATATTATATTTATTCACACGATTGTTTTGACGTCGTTGGTTGTCTAGAAACGCGATTTATTTTTATACCAAAAAGACAGCCAGTCAAAAAACAAAAAAAAAAACAAAAAATACAATGAAATAAAGTGAAATAAAATTAAACTAAAACGAAAAGGAAAAAAAAATCGCAAATGCCGTGAAATTTCATATATGCATGTGCACCAAAATTCATAAAAATACATACACACTTTAAGTTGGTATATATATATATATATATATACATATATGTATGCAGATGTTTGTGTACTGCAGACGTTATGAATATAAATTTTAAAATATTTATTGTATATACTATTTATGTATACTGTACCGAGCTCACACAATGAAAATCGGTTTGAAACAAATTTCTTACGATTCACAAAACAGAAAATCAAACATAAAACATTTTTATGCATCTTCAGCGCGAGAAATACTTAAATATATGGTATATAGCTACATACGATATTCCTACAAACATATGTATGTACATATGTGCGTATGCGTGTGGAATAACAAATGAAATATATTTTATATAAAATAAAAAAATGCAATGCACTCATTGCTTTATGAACTAAAATACGTATGCGATTGCAAAACTGACATAATGGCATGTATGTATGTATGTATGTATGTAAATACCATGTAATTACCTTTTTTGTGCGTATGAAAGATGTATTGTAAATATTTGAAATAATTCTAAGCCTGATTGAATGAGAAAATGACCGAATGCAATGAAATGAACAAATGAAATTTAGAAAAAAAACTGTTAACTAAGCAATAATTAATGCGAGGAGAATAAGACTACATAAAGTTTTGGGGTTTGTACAGAAAAATATATAAATATTTAAGAAAAATAAACAATAAATTATGCTTAAATATATAAATAAGTTAAAAGAACATTCAACTTAAATAATATAATAATATAAAAAATATATATACAAAACAATAACTATTGATATTTTAGAGGTTAATGTAATAATAATAATAAAGACTTTACATTTTTTTTTAATTTGCAACTTTTTATATTTTTTTTTTAATCAAATGCAATTTCAAGAATATTGCTTCTAATTTTCGATCGAAAATCGATTGAAGCAAAATTGAAGAATTTACGAGTATTTTTATAACCCTCCTAAAAACTTTTTACATCAGATATTTTTAGTGTTCAAAATTTTAAAGCCTTTTCCACACAACTTACGTTTTCAAATACGGTGCGCTTTATAACATCAAAACTACATACAATAACAAATTGGACGATTTTTTGTGTGAGTGTACCAAAAAATTTAAAAATCGTCATTGCGAAAAAGTAGCTCGACTTTAGCTAAGAAAAACTATTATCTAACGAATGAACGTATGTTTTTCAACTACTGATGATTCGACAACAAGTTATGAGAAGCACCGCAAAACTACTTTCTTGCGAGCCACGCTCGAATAATTGCTGCTATTGTTCTATTTTTATACCCTGCACAAGGTAGATTAACTTTACCACGATGTTTGTAACATCCACAAGGAAACGTCGAAGACCCTATAAAATATATATCTAATTAATCAGCGTGACGAGCTGAGTCGATTTAACCATGTCCGTCTGTCTGTATATACCTACGCAAACTAGTTCCTCAGTTTTTGAGATATCGATCCGAAATTTTGCACACGTTCTTTTCTGCGCCAAAAGCTGGTAATTTGTCGGAACCGCCGTTATCGGACTACTATAGCATACAGCTGTCATACAAACTGAACGAACGGAATCAATTTCTTATGAGTAATCTTTTGTATTTGAGAAGGGTATTGTATTATAGCTTCGGTGCAACCGAGGTTAACGTTTTTTCTTGCTTAATATTTTCCATTTGTTTTAATCACAAAATTTTAACGGTGTTGTTACAAAGAATTTAAAAAAAAACATGCGTGTTTCTGCACGAATTTACCATATTTTAAATTATTACGCCTGCATTGGGAATTCCATAACTTTATATGAGCATTTGTCAATATAGCTAAATGCAATAACTAAAATTGAATGCACGACTTGACAGTTGCAACGCGAACAATTGGTGACAAGCAAGTAACATTGAAAGTGATTGAAATGAGATGACATATAACGGTAATGTAAGGTTAGGTGATAAAGCAACTGTATGCGTGCCTTCGTCTTTGTCACTTTGCGCACATTGGCACAGGCGAATACACTTGTGTATTAACACGTTTAGGGAAAGTGCAAATGAAAGTGAAACTGAAATTAAAATTAAAATAAAATTACGGTATATTTAAAACGAATAATTGTATGTAAATACGACATACATACATATGTACACGTAATTGTACACAACAATGAGACAAACTGTATACAAAACAAAAACAGAAAATTCAAGAAAATGAAGACATGTAATGGAACTAGGAAACACTCAGTTAATACAAAAAAATAAATTATAATAATACAATAAAAGAAAATAAAAAACAAGAATAAACAAGGTGAACACATAAGAAATGCGACAGACAAATAGAGAGATTGAGAGAAAGGGATACTGTAAAACATAGAAACTGTTCTGTATATTGGTTGTACTTTTATTGTGGTTGTGTTATTTCTTATTGCACTTTACAATTGTGTTGTGTTGAAAAGTATTTGGTTAAAGACAATTTGCTATGTAGTATTACTTTTGTAAATTTGTTGTACTTAAATAATAATAATATATTAAATATTTAGGTATATTACTTGTATACAGTAAGAATAGTCAAAATATATAAGCATGTTAAAATATTTTAAAATATTATACAGATAAAAAAAACATATACATATAATATATTAATAAACGTATTTTTTTTTTGGGAAATAAAAATAACATTATTTTTTATATGCAAATTAATTAGTAAATAGTGTGCAAATTTGTCAAACAGTACTCACCAGCATAAATCGCTAAAAATATCGAGAGGAATGAAATAACGCTTGCCAAGAATTTCGCCTCCATCTTTGGTATTGATCCGTGGTTTGTACTTTTACGCTTATTATTGTAATTATAACAATTGTGATTTTTACAATTCTTTTAAACTACTATTGTTGATGTTGATTGGTTGCTTGCTGCAGCTGGTGTTGATGTTTATGTTGCTGTTGTGATTTGCTCGTTATTTTTTTGTTAATTTTTTTTTTTTGTTTTAGAAAATATTGCTGCCACGTCTGCTGTTGATTTTTATGATTTCTTAATTTTTGTTGTTGTTTAATTTAGTTATTGTTTTGACTTTTGCTAAAAGTTGTCGAGATAATCTTCTTGTTCTTGTTGTTGTTGCTGTTGTTGCTATATAGTCGTAAGATAATCGGTGTTATATACTTTTCATGTATTAGTGTTGACCTGTATTGTAAGTTTAATTAACTATCAGCTTTAATTTTCTTGCTACGATGCATAAAATTTTTAATTTCAATTTTTTTTTTTTTTTTTAATTTAATTTAATTTTTAAGTGATTAAATTTTTAACTCTTTTGTGTGTTTGCTTTAATTTTGTTATCAAACGTTGGTTAATTGTAATATTGATGCATTACATTTACGCTTAATTTGCTATATTTAATCCAAAGTTGATCGTCGTCTTCGTAATAATCGTCGTCGCAATTTAACGAGCTGCATTTTGTACATAGTACATACATTTGAAAGAGAACAAATAATACATTTGGTGAGAACAAAGAATCGTTAATCGAATAGTGACCGCAATGACGAGGACGACGGCAACAGCAACAGCAACAGCGGGAATGACGACGATCGGTCAAGATATACATACGTACGTATACATATGTATGTAGGCGTTTGTCGCCAATGATGACAGTAATGTCAGGGCGCGAAAGAATTAAAAGAAAGAAAAAAAGAACACATGAAATGTTTAACCTTTGCTCTAAAGACAATGCGCATATTATTTTAAAGAAACATTTTATGTATGTATATTCATTAAAAAATACACAATTTCGTATATTCTCTTTATGTGTTTGTGTGTGCTACATAATATACATATATTTCTTTATAGTTAATTAAGTATATGAAAACTTGAGGAAAATCTTAAGACTCTGCGTTTTGCGGAAATATTTTCTGAATGACCTTACGGTGGAAGAAAATAAGCAAAAATAGAACAATAAACCAGGCGATTAATCAAATACTACGAAAACATCGCACGGCAGTGATGACTCTGTTATAATGATGCATTTTATTTCTCTCGTGTTCAGTAGATTTTATAATTTTTATAACAGTTTACACCAATTGAATTACATACATATATATACATATGTATATGTACACTCTCTTCAACATTTCGTGCATGCTGCTTATCGATTTATATACTATATATATATAACAGTAACACTGAATGGCCTACAGATCACATATTTAAACCCAAAATCCGCCTAAAATAACGAACAAACAGGCAGTTGGCAAAAATGCACGGTATGATCGGAAAATAACAAACGGAATCAATGTGAATGGAAAAGCGTAGACATTTTATTTGTTGACCGTCAATCACCTCAAAGTACAGAACGACGGAAAAAATGGCGCGTTGTGTGAAGAAGCGAGGTGAAAGCTCTCTAGAGGCTAATATACACGCACTGTATGTTATAATTTTGCTTGGATTACACAGTTCACACTGATTTCGTATGCTAAATAGACATATTTCAAATTTTTTTTATTTAAATTTAAATTTATACTTTTACATATATTTATATATATATGTATATATGTATGTACGCATGTACTTTTTTGCTTTTGGAAGCACAAGTAAACGAAACCGTACCAGAATAAGCGCAAAAGCAGGCGGCCACGACAATGACGAGCACAGTACTGACTGAATGTTTTCACAAATTGAAAATCGCTACACGACAATAAGGAATCAAAATCAGCAACGACAATGAAAATTACAAGTAGTAGCCAAATAAAAATACCTCTATGTGGATTATTTAAACAAAGAAGACGGCGAAGCGATAACGCAACTGGAATGGCGATAAATAAAGCTACGATTGTATTATCGGTAAATACGTAACAAGAAATTTTAAATAACACTAACAAGAAATTTTAATAAAAACAAGAAAAAACGTCGCGTCACAAAAAATCTAACTGAAAACCAAAACTAATTGCAGCGGTGACAATGACGGTAGCGACTGCGAGCACAACATTCGCGAACGACCACAAAAAAGCGACTAATCAAGACCAAAAATGCTATATAGTGAACAGCCATCGATACTCACATATTGCCACTAGCTAGCGGTGGCTGGCGTAAAGGCCACAAGCTCGGGCTTGCAAGTGATTAGCGAGCAGCAAAGGTAGAACACTGAAAAGCGAACAAGCAAGGTAAAGAGCAAATAATCCGCAATGTACTCATTGGGGATCGGCTGATGGAAAGCGAGAGAAATGCCAGAACTTTGTCATCATAGCCAAAGCTGCGCAGTGCGGTATTTACATATTTGTGTTAAATATGTGTTTTACTCTACTCTATTAAACACCAGTTATTTTCAAAATTCAGTTAATTATAAAATTTATGCTTTTAATTAATATGTACGTATGTATATAAGTTAAATACAAAAAATACATTTGTTTGTTGTAATTCATTATCAGTACGGATCATTACAAATCTGTTACATTATCACTCAAAAAATAATTGAAATCGAAATGAGAAATTTGTCGCGTCAATATGACGACTACGTCCACTAGTATTTTCACAATTCATACCACATACGAACAAATAACTAGTTGACCGGTCACCACAACTATAGCAATAACGTATACTACTTTGGAATAAGCCTTAACACAATAAACAGGCACGTGTAAACCTATTCCACACTCCATATATACATACATACATGTGTCTGATGTAGACAATAACGACGAAAGGCGTCGGCGCCAAGAATGTTTCATGTATGGCAAACTTTAATTCGGTGCGCGAAAATTTACGGTAAGTGCCGTTGAACTAACACCACACACTTATTTGCATTGATTCTTCAGAGGGTCGTCTATTTTTGAGTAAGTGATTTCTATTCCCAGCTCATGATTGTTTAAGGGAAAAATTGTATATGTAAATGATTGATTATTTATTTATTTTAATATGAAATTAACACGTTAAGACATTGCACCTCTTTGAAAATAACTTTCAACAATAGTATCGATTTGAATGTCTGTAAAGGCATGACAATTGGTGGTGATTGAAAAATTATAGCGGAGATTGATATGTACAATATGAATGTACCGTTATTGCTTAAAATTATAAAAATTCCAATCGCACTAAGTTTGAGTATATAAAAAATATTGTTTAGAAAGAGCAAAAAATTTCAACCGGTTTCTATCACATTAAACGAACTCCGAAAACACAAACGTTCGTTTTCAGAAATCATTGATGATTAGTTGATGACAAAACTTCAAAACACTGACTAATAACACATATTGTTAACATAATATACATATATTGTATATACCAATACACTCATTCGGCACGTTACATTGTACTGATGACTGCTGAATACGAGATGGATGACGTTATTTTTGCTGGACACGAGTGTAAACTACTGACGACAACGCGATTGAAGCGAAAAACGAGATGAAACAATAAAAGATGAGGTTAGCTGTTGCCTCCTTGGTACTTTGGCATAGCTCCACTAATACAATGTTGCAGTGCTACAATAGATTGTATCATCACCAAGCTTAAAGCTTAAATAAAGTCAGCCAGCCATTCAGCCTCCGACAATGCATGGCATTTTCTATACACATTTCTATGCAAGATTAAACTGCATTCCAATAAAAAGTAATAAAAGTAGAAACAAATGCAAGCAAGCTAGGAGCGCCACAAATGACAGCATTTGTGGGTGAGGCGATGACGGATGCCAATATGTTACTATGTATTAAATATTTATGTATGTAGGCAGGCATTTTATACGTGTTTGGGAGTCAAGTAAATTTTGCGTGTGCATGTGCTGGTTCGCTATTACTAAACGGTGAATCAAATCACGGAGTTAACGTATCAGGAGAACAGCCAGCCATTGGTAGCGTGGAAATTGGTGGTGATACTTCAATCTTTCTATTGATCAATTTCTGTACATAACACTTACATTCATATCTTAGTTGCATTTTCTTCACCTATATTGTATTTTATTTCTTTGGAGAATCAAAAATAAAAATAAAAAGAATTGTGAACAACCAATTGTTCACTAAACTCACAGGCAAAAACAAAAATAGAATCGAGGTGCTCCGGGCTAGTTTATGGACGCAGCGTTTGCAAAGAACCATAGCGGTCAATTTTGACCATTAATGGGAGCACCTAAAATTTTACAGATCAGCTCCACCTTACTTTTAATCTTATGTGTCGGCTGATAGTAAACCAAATACCAAATATACAAACACATGCACAAACACTCTGTTTTACCTTACGGGATATACCCAATTCTCATTTATGCAATAATCGTACAACAACAGCAACTAAGTTAAGAACAACATACGAAATGATTTTTTTCTTTCGAAGGAAAATGGCACAAACCCCACGATGAAAACGAAAAATGATGATACACGAGAACGGGCAAAAAATTCCTCCGATGGCCACGGACGGCAATGACGAAATTCTTTGCCGTTCCCTTATGTTTTCCTGCTTTAGCAGATTTTCCGTTTTGTGTTGGTATTTTTCGTAGTATGGTTAGTACAGGTGTATGAGTACTAGAGTGTATAGTGTGGATTGTGGTGGTAGAAGAGGATTTGCAGAATGGTAGTGGTTCTTTCTTCATGGAAATTTCATTTTCTTGTTCATCATCCGATTTAAATTTTACTTAATCCTCTCCTGTTCAATATGATTCTATTTCATAGCCATTTTCATGCGTTCACCTTACTCTTTATCCTTTTTTACGAATGCTTCCTTCCTTCCACGTTCCTCTTTTTCTATCCACGTTCAATTCCAATTCACTTCGCCTTTTCACTTTTCGATTTTTTCTCGTCGAGAAATTTTTTCACATTTTTTTCTTAAACTCATCACTGCACTCTTATTTTCCCGCTGTTGTTCATAATTATTGCATTATGGCAAACTATTCGTCGTCAATACACCTCGCACTTTATAATTATTTTATGAATTTACCTAAGCACAGAATACAGAATTTTATTTTCTTCTATTCTTCCATTGATGATGAATTTTTCACTTCGCTCGCACTTCAGTCTGCGAGTGACCTTAGATGTGCGCAGGGTTGTAATAATTTAACTGTCAAAATCAACCATGTACCGACAGAGAACGTAGAATTATACGTTCTCTGGTACCGATTACTTTGGAACGTTTGGATTTTGTGAAACGAATACTGTTATAAATAACTGAACTGACGGCAACACTGTCAAACTTCAAATTCATTAAAGAGTTGCTACAATTTCAAATAAGTCTTCAAGACCTGTACTAAAGAAACTAAATTTTTATTTAAATTCTTATTATCAGGCCAAAACAATTGTCATTTCAAATATAAGCAGCAAGTGACAATGAAATCAACCTAGAATTGATTTCGTTAAAATATTGTAAACATATCATAACTTACATGATGTTTACTGCTACTTGAGTAGTTCAACGTCATTCTAATGGCAAAATATACGGCATATTTATTTATGATATGTTTAATCGTGGATAAAAGAAAGGAAAATAATAAAATTATCATAAATCATGTGTGGAAGGCAATGAATACCAATTGGACGTTGAGGCATTCCACCTGTTTTAATCAAAATAAACGAGCGTAATGGCAACACCGTTTATGTAGTAGACTGAGAAAATATGTACTAGATTGTGTTGGGGGAGGGAAATAGCATTCAATAGTTTGTCATCACGGTAGTTCGTTGTGAATTTAATGTGTGTTATTTTTGATTTGTTTTACGATTAATTTGGTTTATATTAGTTATTAATTCGTTTACAAATGATGTTGGGAGAGTAATTGCGTTATTAAATCAACGAATATATCATTATAAGGTAAGTGCAATTAAGTAAAAAATATTGCTGTTGACAACGCCCGGGCGAAGACAGGCTTGACAAATACCTTTGGTTTAGTGCTGTTGTAATTGAAAGCTTTGTTGTTGGTACATGGGCGTTGACCAAAAATTGAAATTTGTTATTGAAATACTCAAAATTCAATGAGATATTTATGAAGAATCGTCTACTAATAATGAAAAAAATTCGAAAATAAGAAGATGAATGCTGGAAAAGTGGTAGCAGGTGTCAGTGATAATCACCACCACAGGGAAATTCGTGGAATTACATTGGCAATTCATGGCTTCAGCTTGTGCACATATGCATATTTTATATACATATACCCATATTTTTTACATTATCCCCTTAGTTAATTCGAATATTAAACCGAAAAGGTTTGCAAATTACATTTCCACTTCACCTACCAGCCAACCAGTTTGGTCATTGCGCTTTGGCCCCTGGACGTGCGCCCTTCCTTAATTAATTCATATTATGATTCATGTAAAAGGGGTGAAAAGTGTGCACTATATGTATATGAATAGCGGTAGGTGCTACAAGAATAAATATTGAATGAATATATGTAAATAATAGCGAGCCGTATATGCTTACAATCCATTGCAAATATGCAGTATATTATATATCCATAGCGATCGCTTCAATGCGCACGCGACAGCAGTTTCTGTTAGTAAACCATCGAGTAATTTTGGTAGCATGTGTAACTATTGCAACACTCCAACTGGCTGAGATAGCTAGTCAAGTGTCATAGAGCACATGAAATGCATCTGATAATCTTTGTATGCATATAGGTATATATGAATGTGGTGCTGCGTAAACAACATCCGTATTGTAATAGATAGTGGCTGCAGTCGCATTATTTTGAAATTTAATCGGTCTGCTTTCAAAAGTTCCTTAACAGCGCTAACAATACAAAAAAACATTGCATTTCGGTTTAAATTTGTTGGAAAATGTGAACTGCAAAATGATATATACTAGAAATGCGTACTGATAACCCAAAAAGTATTAATCGATAACCCCAAAAATAACAAATTAGGTTTTCTTTCTTTTTAGGGCTTTCGAGTCTTTAAAAAATACATTAAAATGTATAATTCAAAACAAGCACGTTTTCATGTTTTATTACTTCTCAAAGTTGAAATATTGTTTGGTCTATATGGAAATTTAATTATCGCTTTTAAACAACGTCTGACAGAATAAATATACAGCAGCACACATATTTATATGTATTTATATTAATCAATCACTATTGTTGTGGTTGCGCTGTCGCAATTCTTAAAGCCTATATTACGTAAATCATTAGTCCATTGACTTTTCATCTGTTAAAATGAACTCTATAAATATACAAAATGTTCTGATTTCCCAATACGTTTTCTTATTTTTTATTCAATGGTGGGAAACACAGCTATTATCCAAAGGCATCCAGTTGTTCGTATCAACGCGCCTAACACGCATCAGCCTATACGAGATTTTGGGATCGACACGCACTAATTTTAGAGTGTGTTGAATTTGAGGCTATACGACGCAGTGTTTTAAAAACAACAAATCATTTAGTAAAATTGTTTTCTTTATTTTTCCGATTGCTTAATTGGATTTAAAAACTCTAAATTCGAATTTCATGTGTACTTATTACGTAATAGTTTTTTTCTTTACTTAATTTTGTTTTGGCTAAGTTTAAATAATATTGAAATAGAAGATTATTAGAATATTTTTGTGTTGAATGAAACTAATATTATGTAGGTTTCTATCGTACGACTTATATTTTTTACTTTTCATATGATAGAGAGCCACTGTGCACGTTATTTTTGAATATGTTTATATGTACACCACAGTGCAGTTTGATTTGTGCGCTTGCACTATACAGAATATTTGAAATAATTTTTTAGTCGTCCTAAGTTATTCACATAAGTGAGTGGTGTGTAGATTTAGTATGTGCGATTAGACATAATCTTTTTTTATTCAATTTCATT